ACCAGGTTTCCCAACCTGACCCACTCAGTTTATTTATCACAGGTGTTGATATGAAGTCACATTACACTGAGAGATTTAAAGAGATGTAGATCACTAGTGTAAATAAATGTAAGTTCTGTTTATGCTTATGTTTCTGTATTGACGATGACATCCCAAATGTTTTAAAATGAATAAAATATATTTCTTTAGAAATGCTTTGACAACGCGATTATCATGTTTTTCTGGGAACAAATTCCGCAACATTTTTATTAAAAGAAGTACTCTGATTTTTATAAAGCATAAACAAAATCGGTCTTTTCTGGCCGTGAAAATGGGGATGTCACAAGAATAAAATGTGTACCTTTAATACTTAGAGTAAGATAACACATAGTTACATTCAAAATCAAAAACATTTAATAAAAATATAAGACATTAAAAAAGATTGACATTAATAATTTAATATATTGATAATTGATATTAATATTAAAATAAAGTCAAATAATCATACACGTTCAATGCGATTAAATCAAAAACTATCAAGTAAAAGAGCCAAACATCCATATTATGTGTTATCTGGATAAGAAAAAACCAAGCACTCATACATTCAATGTGATTAAGTTAAAAACAATAAATAAATAAAGCCAAAAAAAACATTCTTAATATAGAGATTCAAGAAGAACCAAAAAATTAACTTGCATAGAAGTCTTAATTATTAAGTCAAAAAATCCTTCGAATAGGACTATAAAGTCAAAACTATCTTTGATTATGATTAACGGTGTGAGAAGCCTTCGATTAGAATTATGAGTGTGAAGATTAAACTAATTGTAAATAATCTTTACAAATTGTAGAATTAGCCGATTAGGAATTACATCAACAATCTAACTCGATCAATGCATGACTAGTATATTGTGTGTGTCTTCGCGATCAACCTTTGATGATCTGATTGCTAGTTCGTCTCCTAATAAGTGAGGATTACTGAATTATATTTTGAAATTTTAATGGGTCTTAAATAAATCTGACTATATTATTTTATATATAATCTATAATATTTATATATTAAGATATAAAGCGATCGGTTTGGTTAATAATGGTTCGGTTAAACTATAAAACCGTAACCGAATCGTTAGTTATCGATTAACAAAAATTAGAAACCGAACCAACGGTTTTTAAAATGGTTCGGTTATTATGGTTTGGTTATATCTGTTAATTTGGTTTTGGTTCGGTTTTTCGGTTATTATGCTCATCCCTAGGTTAGGGGAGGGAATTTTAGTCTTATGTTGTGGGCTTGAGAGCAATCCAGTCATAAGTTGAGGGTCGGAAAAGGCATTCCCGCCTTATGCTGAGGGTCGGGAAGGGAATTCCCGCCTTATGTTGAGGGCTCGGGAGCAAGCCAGTCATGAGTTGTGGGTTGGGAGTGGGTAATCCAATCTCATGCTGTGGGCTCAGAGGCAATCCAGCCTGATGTTGTGGGCCCAGTGTGCATGTATTGTATATGTACTATTGTATGGGGTATTTTGGGGGAACTCACTAAACTTTGACTTATAGTTGTTGATTTTATTGGTTTCAGGTACATCAGATGATCGGGGCAAGCAAAGATGTGACCGTACACATTATCTTGTTGATTTATGTTTTGAGAGATTTTTGATACTCTAATTCTAAAGATTTGTTTAGAAAACACTGGTTTACTATCTTATAGTTTTGTGGAAATGTTTTATAAAAATTAAAATATATATATATATATATATATATATATATATATATATATATATATATATATATATATATATATATATATATATGGTTTTTGGAACGTTACAAAAACCTTTAACATAAATGGTCGAAACATGAGGCTTACTTGATGTGGTTGAACTATCAATTGTGTATTGTAGCACGAATCTTGATGATTGAATTCCAAGATTTGATACTACCACCAAATAAAATCAACCAAATGGAGATCACAAAAATTTACCATGCTTCAGCTATTGTTGTTTTAGTGTACATAAAGATGAGATTTCATGAATAGGATAAACGAAAAAAAGATAAAAAGATGATTATAAACCTACTACCGAACCGAGAACAGAAATTTTCATAAGAACCTAAAACCTATATATTTCAATTACTCGTAAAAACGGGATGAACTCTCTAGTTTGATATCCCATATTGTCCCAAGTGTTTCACATACTCATATGTCAAAGTAGGGCACCTATATAAAAATATAATAAATCTAAAAACCTTCCAAAAATAAGATAACCCATATTTGAGGAAATAAAAAATCCAAATTGCTCAAGGGGTTCAATGGTATAAGTGGTGATCGGACTAATCCCCCACACAAAGAGAAAATGATAAAAATAGTCATTTACACTAATTACATTACAAAAATAGCCAAAAATATCGAAATTACAAAAAATAGCCAACGATTTCGCAGATGGAAATGCCCCATCTGCGAAATCAGCATGCCATCTGCGAAAGTACAAGCAGCTAAAGCACAGCTGTGCTTTAGCTGCTTGTACTTTCGCAGGTGGTTTTTTTTTTTTTTTTTTTTTTTTTTTTGTATATATAGGGGTAATTTCGCAGATGGAGAAGGTCCATCTGCGAAATACTCTCACTCCTATCTGCGAAATTGTGATTTTTTTTGTTTTTTTTTTTTTTTTAGTTTGACTATGAAATGGATTGGTTTGATTACGAAATCATGTTGCTATATAAAAACTTTTGTAGAAAAATATCATTTTGGTTGTTATTTGTTTAGGAACTTTTGCTCAAAAAATGATTGAATATTTGGTTAAAAAAAAAATACAAACCAAATATTCAATCATTTTTTGAGCAAATTGTAGAGAAAGTTCATAAACAAATAACAACCAAAATGATATTTTTTCTACAAAACTTTTTATATAGCAACATGATTTCGTAGTCAAACTAATTCATTTCATAGTCAAACTAAAAAAACATACAAAAAAATACAAAAAAAAATCACAATTTCGCAGATAGGAGTGAGAGTATTTCGTAGATGGACCTTCTCTATCTGCGAAATTACCCCTATATATACACAAAAAAATAAAATAAAAAAAAATAAAAAAAAAACCACCTGCGAATGTACAAGCACCTAAAGCACAACGTGCTTTAGGTGCTTGTACATTCGCAGATGAGATGCTGATTTCGCAGATGGGGCATCTCCATCTGCGAAATCGTTGGCTAATTTTGTAATTTCGATTTTTTTGGCTATTTTTGTAATGTCATTAATGTAAATGACTATTTTTGTTATTTTCTCCCAAACAAATATGCTTGGTTTGTTTGATGATGTTGAAGTTGATCCTTTTATTGGATCTTCAAAAAAAGGTAGGATCAATAGCTCATATGATAATTAGAGTCCAAAAACTTTGTTAACTTTTCATACCAAACACGAAGAGCATTCACATTGGATCATATGGTCTTGCAGTTTCCACCGTGGTAACTATCCTTTTCACGTAAACTCATAGGGCTCAAAGTGATACAAATTACAAAACTCATTGTTAACATCTTTATGAGAGAGAGAGCCCATTAATATCACATTGTATACCAAAAGATAAGTAAATCAAATAGTGGTTTGTTATTTATTTGGTAATCGAGCTCGGCAACGATTCGTGATAGTCATTTTTGGGATGTGTCAAGTTGAGTGGGTGAATTTAGTATACTAGAAGTAGGAGGATATTTAATTTCTCATACTATCAAAAGTTGCACAAAATAATTACCAAAAGCTCTATCAAATCGTGTTTTTATGCATCTTAAGATTACGCATGATTTCAACTTTCCATAGCTATTTTTTGGTGACCTACAATCTCATCAAGACGCATTTGATGATACCAAAATTTGAGAAATTCCATGCCCATTCAGCCCACGGAACTTAGAGAGTCATGAACATTATGACAAACGTCTATTGTAGTTTGGCTCAACTCACATACCTAACTTCATTTAAAGCTTCTTTTAAATATTTTTGGTTTCGAAAATATTCGGTTCTACATATTTTCATTTTTCATGTATATCGCATAAAATCAATAATTTTTATTAACTACGTATTATTTTAGGTATGTGTCGTCACTGCTTTTGAATAATTTTGATTTTTGACCACTCATACGAAAGAAAAAAAAAATCATTTATGCATTCATAGTGTGATTATTTATATCCTTTATGTCATTATGTGTCACCGATCAAATCGACAAGCCCAAACTTGAATTTAAATAAACATACGAATATAACTTATAAATAAATTTATATAAATTACAGCTCATAATGAAGAAAAAATAACTGATTTCTTGTGGTAAAGATTTTACAATCTTATAAATTTGACAACCGTGTTCGAATATTTCTTTTGTGTTTTTTAACTATGATATATATTTAACATGTTGAAAATGATCCATAACCATAGTAAAATATCTTAAGCATTTAATGATTTAATCACTGTTTCAATCGTAAATTTTTTGGTAATTGTAAATACAACCAAATTAACAAACAGTGTAATTGTAAATTACAGTAAATAGCAACATACTTTACCTTTTCCATCAATTTATAGTTTTTTATAACATGTATTTTATTTTTTACCCATAATAGCAATATACTTATATTTCTTCACCTATAACAACAACATAGTTAGCTTTTTTTTTTTTTTTTTTTTTTTTTTACAAATGCCACAATATGTAAACCATAATAGCAATGTATCTAAGCTTTTTAATACATACAATTTCCCAAAGTTTTACAGCATATGGTAATCACCAATCTTTTGCATAATGTTGATGAATACATATAAATGATGTATATAGAATGTTTTATATCTAGCAACAAAAAAAAAATGTTATTTACAACCCCAAAAGACTAAAAACTAGTGGAAGATGTGGAACTTGGAGTTACAGGGTAACTCGCATATATATAACAAACAAACCCCCAAAAAGTAACAACCAAAGATAAAATCTTGAGGCCACTCATTGGATCATTCATAAGGATAACTGCTGCAAAACTGGTTAAGGGTACCCTAATTGAGTTAAGAACACCCGCTAACACAGTGGAAGAAAGGTATAACACACCAGTAGACCCCAAAACCCCTAATTGAAAAGTAATTATACCCCATATAATAACGTTATAATAAGCACTAACCCCACCTATAAAAGTTTCCGATTCTACCCTCATTGAATAAAAATCGTTATTTACCACAACCCCAATTGTGGTGAAAACGAAAGCAAAGAAGGAAACCATTACCTGTTGTTCCAAGACTACATGAAAGGATCTTCCTTGTAGAAGTTTTATGAAGACAAGCTCAGAAAGGGCGAAGATTAGTCCATGGAGAGCTGACCCCAACACATCCCACATGAATCCAAGGGCGTATTGGGTGTTTGTGACGTATGAGAATCTGTCGGAGTCTGAATCCAATGCGATGATGGCCATGGCTGCTGTGATGACGACAATGGAGTTGATAGTTGAGAGGTTGATTTGGTTTTTGACTATGAAGAACCCGAAAATGGCGGAGAAGATGAGGACTGTGGAGGCTAGGAGGGAGGCGGTTGAAGCTGGGAGGTAGGCGTAGGCGTATGCGTACATGAGATTATCTGCAGCGCTTAAGAACCCTAAGGAAATGTAGGAAAGAGTGAGGCTTAAGGTGAGGGGGGTAGGTGTGGCTTTGGTGAAGAGGTAGGTAGGGAGTAAGATGAGAAGAGGGATAGGCCACCCTGCAACCGATACCCATGAAATGATCCATTTGCTTTTTCCACCGTTTGAGAAGTAGAGACGTGAGAGAAGAGAAGAAGCAGGGAAAGCGATAAGCATGGCTAAGCTACTTACAAGGAGAAGAATCCAGTGTGAGGTAGGTTTGTTGTTGTATGCGTTGAAGATCATCTTCTTGTAATCGGAGATTTGTTCACTGAATGATTTTGACGGTGGTATCTCCTCCATTCCTTCCCCAACAGTAACTACATGGATAAGTCAAAATTAAGTCAATGATAAAGCACAATTGATGTCAAAATTATACTCTTCAATTGAAGAATCCAATGATTTTGTTGTGAATTTCGGTAAAACTACAATTTGATGGAAAATTTCTGCTCTGAAAATGAAGGATCGGTATGATTAAGTTGCGAATTTCGGTAAAACGTTTAACTATTCAGAATAACGGTGTTCGTAGATGGAGTAGGAACTATATATGCTTGTGATCGATCTAATCAATAGGACAAATGAAATCAAAGCTGAAAGTGACTAACCTGAATCAAGCAACGGTTGATGCATTCAGTGGCCGGCCGGAGTTTATGTCACCGATTTATCTCCGTCGAGGGAGTGATGAGTCGTAAAAATCCGCAACTAATTCCATCTGTCTTGGAGAAGCTATTATCGCCAATAGAAATCTACGCACAATTTACACTAACCCCCTAAATCTACTCACAATTTACACTAACCCCCTAGAAATCAAAGGGAAATCATGTAATCTAACCCCTTGTTACTACTATTCTAAGAAAAATAATCATAAACTATTAAACTATTTTTTTTTTTTTAAAATGACCACTCTATTCAGAATATTTAGGACCCGTATTTCTAATGGGTAAATGGGTATATGGTAGGGATGGGATTTAAAACCGGAAAACCGGAATCGGAACCGGAATATATAGAACCGGTTCCGGTTCCAAGTTTTAAAAATGGTTTTATCCGAGTTCCGGGTAATCCTGGATTGGGTCCATCGGGTCCGGGCAAACCGGGTCTAAAAACCGGAACCGGTGTTAGGAACCGAAACCACTTTAGGAGCCGGAACCGTTTTTTGTGAAACGTTTAACATATGTATATCCCATTCGTTTCAAGTCGAATTGATATACGGTTTTTTCCAACGTGTAGGTTAGAGTTTGAACATGATTTTAGACTATAAGTTTGTCATTTTTAGTTTTATATTCATTGACTTACAGTCCCCCAAAATTGAGATATCAAAGCTAGAAGTTTTTAGTTTTTCAGCTTTTTTTTGTATTCTGTGAAAGTTTTTAAAAACATGCATATCTAATTCGTTTGAAGTCAGATTGACATGCGATTTTTCCCAACTTGTAGTTTAGAGTTTGTAAATGATTTTAAACTATAATTTTGTCATTTTTGGTTTAATATTCTAGGACTTACAGCCCCTTAAAATCGAGATATCAAAGCTGAAAATTTTCAATTTTTCAGCTATTTGTTTTTGTATTTTGAATTCTTTGAAAATGTTAACACATGCATATTTCATTCGTTTAAATTCGGATTGACGTGTGGTTTTTTCCAAAGTGTAGTTTAGAATTTGTACATGATTTTAGATTATAATTTTGTCAATTTTGGTTTCATATTCAATGACTTACAGTCTCCCGAAGTTGGTATGCTAATATGAAAATTTTTAAAGTTTAACCCACAAAGTAGTAAGTAATTACCAAAAAAAAAATCGGGTTTTTCGGGTTTTCTGGTTCTAAACCCACATTATCCGATTCCAACCTACCCACTTTGATGTTTCCAGGTTTTCCGATTCTAGACGCACTTTACCTGGTACCGTACCCGGAACCGATTCTTATATATCGGTCCGGTTTTCAGTTCTACAAAATCTCGTTAACCGGTTTCGGGTCCATCCGGTCCGGGTTTGGACCCACTTTCATCCCTAGTATATGGATCCAACCCGGTAATGTGGTCCCTCTTATAAATAACATTTCGGACTTCATTCCGAACACCAATCCAGTTGGAAGAATGTCTTATTTTAGCAGTGAAAAGATTCATTTTTTATATGTAAGTTTCGATTATCTTTATAATTATATGTCTTTAATTTAGATTATATGTTAAAAAGGAGATAATTTTGTTTATATGCAATTATATAGATATTATTTGTTTTCCTTCGATTTATAGTGGTTTTAGGCTATTGTAGGAGTACATGTAGTTATATATGTGCACTAGATCAATAAATCTTAGAAATATTTTAATTCTAACAAGTCCGAAATGACTCCAGAATACAAAGATCATGTCCGGAATATGTCGAACACATCCAAAATACGTAGAGCTGATCTAGAATTTTTTTTTCTGTAATGTTGATCTGGAATTTTGTTATGGAATGTCCACCAGAACCTATAAATGTTGATCCAAAATTGTGAAACATATACTTAAATTTGGAACATGCAACAAATGCCTAATTAATGATTCTTTTTATTGTAGCATGACAGAAATACAAAGCGGTTGTGACAACGACCTACAGGCCTAAACTCGAGTGGGAAATCATGGCCCGTTTACAACACAGACCACGTTATGTGGCCATGTGTTAGGGCATACTGTTTTGGTTCTTATGTTAACATGTTGATGGATGTTAAATTGACCTGGAGGAGCTTTTATTTCTGGTACACGACTATCGGGTTTGCTTTGCTAGGAAAGCTTTTTGCCTTATTATCGGCTTGTGGTTCGAGGACTAGTTCCAGCATACTTCATCTTTTATGCAGTTCGAACAACGTGTATTTCTATTTATGGTGCATTCACGATTGGTGAGATTAGCTGATGATATGCATGTGTCCAGTGACTTACATCATCAACTAGATGATCTAGACGTTGTAAGAGTCTCCATCTTGTATATGCTAGAGCAGAGATTTTGTAGGAATACCCTCAACAGTCAGTTGTCGAAGAAATCCTTGCACTCGTCTCTAATATAGACGAGTTTAACATGTATACATCTATTTATAGTATATCAAATGCTACATATACTTATTAAGTCCAATTATTGATAACCTACATGTGTGTTGTTTGCCCACTGTCTTTGGCAAACACCATGCATATGGAGACTACCCGAAGTCTCATTGGGTAAATAGTACGCCTGTGGGTTATCAACAACCCTGGAGACTACCCAAAGTCTCAACACATACAAAAAAACACAAGCACGGTAATAAAATTTAGAACCAGTTGGCCGTCACATACATATACAACTATTCTACCACACAGGTAAGAATAAGTGAGGAGACTCACCAAGCACTGATGATTGATAGAACTCACACCCGAACTATTGGAACTAGACCCCGCCTAAATAAATACACCGATTAACCTTAATTAATAATTAAGGTATTTCTCACACACTAATAAGCCCAAAATAAGACTATACCACACTTATAGAAAACACTGATTTGCCCTTACAAAAACCCCTCACAATCCATCTCAAGCACAAGTGGTCAAAATCAACAAAAGTCAACAGAAGTTCACGGTCACCCAGTACGCTCGGCATACTCACTCTATGGGGGCTGTAAAAGTAGAACACAAGGTGGGAGGGGATAGGCTCGCATTTGGCTACACGGGGCGTAGCCAGGCGTACGCTCAACATACACATACTAGTCTCAAAAGCTACCACAAAGACGTTTTAACTATTAAGACTTTCATTCCAAACTTAGATCTGTCTCCTAAAGAACATCTAAATCCATAAAGTCTCTGACTTTAAGCCTTTTCATGGCTACAAGGAGCTAAAACCCAAAAACCCTAACTTTCTACTTCATTTAAACCCCATATCTCTTGCATGGAAGAAAAGAAATGGCCAAGGTATCATTTTTATGACTTTAGACATCTTAAAATGTCTGAAAGGATGACTTATTGGCTCTGGAGTACTCCATACTCATAAAGTTCAAAGCTTTGGGACAAAAGAACCAAAATGCAAAGCTAAGCAAAATCTAACTAAATGAGCTCGAAGATTTGAACTTTATACCTTGAAAAGGGTGCACAAAGAGATGAAGTTGTTGGATTTACAAGCTAGAAAGCACCACCACCAATTGGATGATCTTCATTCTAACACAAAACACTCAAGAATCATTTTCTAAGCATCAAAAAACTCTCACAAGGCTATTTAGGGTTTCTAGGGACGTTTAAAGGCATGCTGGCTGATAAAGGTGAGGGTCCAAAGGCCATAAATAGGTTTAAATAGGGAATAAGTCTGAAGATTAGGGTTTTGGTCATAGTTCACAGGTGACATCCCCATTTTTACGGTCAGAAAAGACCGATTTTGTTTATGCTTTACAAAAATCAAAGTACCTATTTTAATAAAAATGTTGTGGAATTTTTTCCCAGTAAAACATGATAAATACGTTATCAAATCATTTCCGAAGAAAAGTATTTTTAATTCGTTTTAAAACATTTGGGATGTCATCGTCAATATAGAAACATAAGCATAAATAGAACTTACATTTATTTACACTAGTGATCTACATCTCTTTAATCTTTCAGTGTAATGTGACTTCATCTCAACACCTGTAATATAAATAAACTGAGTGGGTCAGGTTGGGAAACCTGGTGAGTACATATGGTTTTCAACCCACAATAATATAATTATTATGTTTAAACAATCAAACAATCGACCCAATTACCAATCCACATTATCTTCTTTACTCTTAAGGATCTATCCTAAGAGTCATCTATCCCGCATTCGTTCATTCTGAAATCCTTTGCTTCCATAGTTATAGGACTGGCACTAAATCCATAGCTTCCAATGCTCGTTCGTAAAGCACTAATTCCATAGCTGATGGGTACTAAATCCATAGCTACCAGTGTTTATCTAATAGGTACTAAGTCCATAGCTACCAATTCCTAACAGGTACTAAGTCCATAGCTACCAGTGTTTGTCCAATATGCACTAAGTCCATAGTTGTCGATGTTATTTGTTAGGCACTAAGTTTATAGCTGCCAATGTTTACTCACATTATCTTTTATCTCTCATCATTCATCTACCCATCTCATACCCAACATACTTGTATATTTAAAATACATATACAGTTCAAATCATTTAAAACATGTATAAAAAAAACGTTTATCCAGCATAGACAGAAAGTATTTAGATAATATGCACACATAGCACGTAGTTTATATAAAATACTTCATATCTATGTGTAAGATGAAAGTAACTATGCACTCACTTGAAAAGGTAGTGACTCGGTACTCGGACAACGCTTCGTTTACTTTAAAATAATTTCCTTCGACGAAACTTGCAAGGGGATTTTAGCTAGGAGTCGGGCTCTGCAGGGGCAGAACTTCGTCGCTGAGTCTTTCTAATAAAGATTCATGCAGTGCTTCAGCGCTCACCTTACTATACTAAAACTACAGAAAGAGAAGTCGAATCACGAGGGACCGCAATGCTCGGGGGATAAGGAGAGAAATACTCTTGAATCAAGAGAATGGTGTAAGAAATATGAGATCCCAAGGCTCTTATTTATACTAATTGAATTTTCAAAAACTACCCTCCATAATTATTTAATGACCTTTTAGTTATATAAACAACTAAACACCCCTCTATAATACTATTTTAAATGGATTTAATGATATTTGTACTAAACTAATGTCGAAAGAACTCAACATTAGTCTTATAATGACCACATCGTCGATACCTTTCTAATGATATATTCATATGTAGATATATGTGTACGTATATATAATTTATATTTTATTTTAATACGTAAATATGCTATTATAATTTGTAACTCGTTCATACGAACTCCGTTTTTGACGTTCTTTATATCCACGCATAGGTGGAGAAGTACTCTACAACTTTTGTTTAGACTTCGTCGGCTAATTTTGACTTTATTTTTAAAGTTATATTTTTAATAAGTCGGGACAGGATTGGTCCGTTAAAATCTCATAACTTCTTCATCTGATGTCCATTTTCGTCTGTCTTTTTATCGTTACGCTACTAATAAAGAGATCTTATATTCTCATTTAGGTTGTGTTGGCTAAAAACCGCTCGATCTAATACTCGAACTTCGGGCTGTACATCGTTAATCTGAAACTTCGAAAAATCATAACTTCCTCATAAGAAGTCAGATTTGGGCGTTCTTTTTATGGACGCTCTCAGGTTAACATAAATTTCATTTAGATTACTAAGGCTAAAAGAAGCTCTATCATAAATTCACTATTTATGTCTTCGCGGTGCCGTGTCGGTTCCGTCGCTAAACTTCGACGAGTCATAACTTCTTCGTTATAACTCGGATTTTGGCGGTCTTTATATATACGGAAACCTTGTAACATGTACTACAACTTGGTTAAGATTATTTATTCTAAATAATATTTTACCGAAAAGTCATTTTCGACACTTATTATCTCTAAATTGATTAGCCCGGATCTACGGGCGTTACACGACATACGCCCCACGTACCTCCTCGTATGCCTGGCATACGAGGCTCAGTTGCCCGATGATGCACGCCTCAGTACGCTAAGCGTACTTACACGTACGCGCTGTATACGAGGGGTCCTCCTTGCCAACTAAAATTCAACAAAAGTTTAAGAAAAGAATTACCTGAATTCGGATGTTACAACTATTCCCCACTTAGATTAGACTTCATGTTGCAAGTACAAAGTATATACACTAAGACAACCATTAAAGTTCGTTGGATATGTTTTCCCCATAGCATATTCTATGTACTATTAGCTAATATGTCTTTCTGGAAGTGACCAAACACTTTGTTGTTGGCTTGGTTATAATGTGGACGAAGCTATGTGTTTGAGCAAGTGTAACTTTCCGATAATTTAGTGACATAAAATGAATTTGTTTCTTTTGATTTTGTAGCCTTTTGCCTACATTTACATTTTTTTTACAAAATAAACAACTTCAAACCTGTTTTTTTATAGATTTGCTCACTCTTATTTGAAAGCCCTTAGTAACACATTTGAGTCCCTAATTAAACTTAAGGTCTTCTTTGTTTTTGAAAAGATACAAAGAATAATTGTGAGCTAGAACACCTTTTATGTTTTTGTTATTATACTTTAAAATATAAGAGTGTTAGATTCCGAACAAAATAACTATCAACCACCTCTAACTTGGGAATAATAACAAGTACTTTGGAATGTGGTGTTTTGAAATAAAATGATTATTTTTCCAAAATGTAAAATAAATAATTATTTCAAATACTTATTTATAATTATTTTTAATAGTTATTTAATAAATTTTCCTATTTTATATTAGAATTTCAATTTTGAAAACATAATTATTGAGACTCAGTCGAAGTGTAAGAAGCTAGTGATTGAGGTGTCCATATTTAGCTCAGTACTGCTGCCTTTCTGAAATGACTTTTCTTCCTTAACAAAGACCAAAACACTAGGAACAAAATCCTCAAAATCTCCACTCAAACTCGCTTCATCACACTCCAATTCTGCAGATTCAGCCATGGATGACGACAGTGATCGGAGTTCTGAAGCAACTGAATTGGAAAATTTAACAACACAAAGAAAGAGGCACAGTGACACCGACGATGCTGAAGATTCCGGCACCGTAAATGAAGACGAATCCGATGACGATGAGACTGATGATCAGAGAGAGGTTAGTGAATTGGACACTTCGCCCATGGAAATCGACGCATATTCTCGAACTTGTCAATCTGAAACCCTAGTATCTGGTATGTAGTACGATCGGTTCTTCCTAAATCGAATTGCGTTTGTCTTCCTGTCGTTGCACATAATTCGACTAGTCTGTAAATTTCTATGTGTTTAGGCTTGGCGGAGGTCCCGATACAGTATGAAATGCGACAGGATGAGTTGGAGCACTTGAAGGTACACCTTTGTTCTTCAATGTTCTTGCTGTTTTCCAGTTTTCTATGAATAAGAACATATAATTGAGATGATAAAGCTTTATTTACTTTGGTTCATTGATTGTATCCATCTTCACAAGTAAGCATAAGTTTTGACTACATTTTTTGTTCTCCTACTCAACTTGACCCATTTTTTAAGTAATATTTGTGAAATATAGTATTCTTTTATCAATTCTTGTTCCAAATATATCATCTAAGTCTTGTTTTTTTATAGGATTTGTTACAAAGTTTGATCTGGTTGTCAATTTTTTCAAAGAGGGTTTAGATTTTAGAATCTGCAACTTGAAAAGCAACCTAATTTAAAGTGTAATGTAACTCTTCTATGTATTCAAACTGGTTTCTTTAAAAAGGAATCCTATGCTGTATTGAAAATTTGGCTTTGGGCTTGTGTATGAAAGATGTACACAAGTAAACAATAGTTCTTGATAGATACTTTTAGCTTACTTTTCACTGATCTGATAGTTTGCTAATTCTCTTACAGTTGTTTGTTAAGTGGAAAAGAATATGATCTGTAAATAGATTATTTGAACTTTTGCTTTTTTATTGGCTTTTGTTTGAAGCAAAGTATAAATATGCTGTGAAGTTTATAAAAAAAAAAAAATGCTTTGTTCTAATCTGTGTTCCAATTGTACCCTTTTTCACTTAGAATCATCTTCAAGGGAGTCACCAAGAAGCCCTTGCAATCGTTATAGCCAAAGCTGCTCAATCTCAATCAGGAAGCAAAATCCAAATACCCGTAATTCCATCTTTACCCTCAGAACTGTCACCAATATCAAATATTCCAAAATCAAATTCACAAGGAGAGATTCTCTCAATAGAAGGGAACCCTAATAAATCAGACCACAAAACCATATCAACTTCAAGAATTGTGAAAACACCAATTGATGGGTATAACTGGCGAAAATATGGTCAGAAACAAGTGAAGAGTCCGGAAGGTTCTAGAAGCTACTACAAGTGCACGTACAATGAATGTGAAGCTAAAAAGATTGAATCTTGTGATCAATACAATTCCATCACGAAAATAGTTTATAAAGGTCAACACAAACATGAACAACCTAAGAAAGTGTTCACAAGGCGAGGTAAAGTCTTGTCATCTTCTAAAGGGCAAGAACGTAAATTTACATCCAAGCAATGTAAATCAAGTGGGTCCATTAGTAACGGTGCGATTTTAGTTGAAGAGATGGATGCACCACCACCAAAAAGGAGGCAAGTTATACACATTTTTACTAAATTACATTTTTGGCCCTTATTTGAGGTTTTTATAATGCTTTTGGTCCATGTTCCAAGTCAAATGACTATTTTTTGGACCAAAATTGCAAAAGTTCAGCTATACTTAGGGATCAAAAATAGACATTATAAATGGGAAAAGGACCAAAAATGTTACAAGAAACTCAACTAAGGACGAAAACCGTAAGAGAACTTTTTTGGACTAGATTTGCAAAAATCAGTTATTCTCAGGGACCAAAAATGTAAATTGATTTAATTTTTACTAAATTACATTTTTGGTCCTTATTTAAGGTTTTTGTAATGTTTTTGGTCTGTGTTCCGGTAAAATGACTATATTTTTGGGACCAAAATTGCAAAAATCAGCTATACTCAGGGACCAAAAATAGATATTATATATGGAACAAGGACCAAAAATGTTACAAGAACCTCAACTAAGGACAAAAACCGTCAGATAACTTTTTGGGACTAGATTTGCAAACATCAGGTATACTCAGGGACCAAAAATGTAAATTGATTTAATTTTTACTAAATTACATTTTAGGCCCTTATTTAAGGTTTTTGTAACGCTTTTGGTCTGTGTTCCAAGTAAAATGACTATTTTTGGGACCAAAATTGCAAAAATCAGCTATACTCGGGAGTCGGGACCAAAAATAGACATTATACATGGAACAAGACCAAAAATGTTACAAGAACCTTAACTAAGGACCAAAACCATAAGAGAACATTTTGGGACTAGATTTGCAAAAATCAGCTATACTCAGGGACCACAAATGTTACAAGAAACTCCACTAAGGACCAAGATTTTTACAAGAAACTAAACTTAGGACCAAAAATGTTACAAGAAACTCAACTAAGGACCAAAAATGTTACGAGAACTTTTCGGGACTAGATTTGCAAAAATGAGCTTATAGTGAGGGACGAAAAGTGTAAAATGATGTGAATTTTTTGTGGATTATTAGAGTGAAGAAAAACAGCATGGCGAGTCCTGGATCGGTTTTGAAGGCGGCAAAAAAACCAAAATTTGTTGTGCATGCAGCTGGTGATGTGGGAATATCAGCCGATGGTTATAGATGGAGGAAATATGGTCAAAAGATGGTCAAAGGAAATCCTCATCCAAGGTCTCTCTCTCTCTCTCTCTCTCTCTCTCTCTCTCTCTCTATATATATATATATATATATATATATATATATATATATATATATATATATATATATCATTCCTTCCATTTTCTTAATTTCCATACCTCTTGTATTTTTAAATATAATAATAATTCAGGAATTACTACAAGTGCACATCTGCGGGGTGTCCAGTTAGGAAACACATAGAGATGGCAGTTGATGGTTCATCCGAAGTAATTCTAACATACAAAGGAGTCCATGATCATGACATTCCAATCCACACAAAACACATCAATTCCCCTAATCCTAATCCTAATGCTCTTCTTCTCACTGCTGTTTCTTCCCCTAATCCCGACATTCTTACTTAACTTGTAGTTTAATTTCTCCTTTCTTTGTTTAATAAGATCTATATTTATATATATATATATTTCGTTTTGATTAAATAAATCATAAATGTAAATGACTAAATCCCCCCGTAGGTCTAGTGGCTTTCAGGAAATTGTAGCCTAGGGTATATTTTGTTAAGGTAAGATTTGTTTACAAGTTTGCTATCTAATCTAGATATAATGACTTAATGGATTAAGCCATAAAACCTGGCTTAATGTATTAATACCATTTAAAATTGATGAATATTATGAAATTTGTTTTTTTGGAATGAAAAGAAAAAGATGTGTACAACAATTATGTGGAAAGACTTATCATTTTAACAAAATACGTTAATCAGAAAAGCTCGTAATGGATTTTGTTATTAACTTTTTATTTTTAATTATAGAATTAAGTACATGTTTTTGGTTCTTTAGACCGAGTTACATCTATAAATAAGATTTCAATTTTGCGTTTAATCACCTTAATAATCAATTAGTTTCCGTTTTGTATGTGACAGTCTCAAAGAACCGTTCTTGGTTATTGTATTATGAAAAGCAAATGTTCGATAGCGAGATAAATTTGATTTAAGAAAAAAGGGATAGTGATATTCATTTCAATAACCATATTGTTGAAATCGATATTAGCACATTACAACTTTTTGAAGTTGTAACATTTTATCACGTTTTAGATCTTAAATCATTTATGTTTGTTTTTTTCATAGATTACATCAATATTTTACTATAAACAAAATTTTCTACAAACACGAACTCTAACATAGAGGTAAAAAAAATGTGTTTCTATAAAAGAAATTGTTTATGTAGTTTTGACAAACCACTTCAATTTTTCATATATAAAAGTGTATTTGTAGCTTTTTAAGGATTAATTTCACAATTGATGATACTTAAACTTAAAGGCTGTTTGATGTGTTTTTTTTGTTGAGTCTGATTTTTTTTCAGTCAAATTCAAACTATTTGATATTATAATTATAAGTATTTGATTCGATCTTATAGTTTATGATATGCCTTTAATTGGGTCCATAAGAAGTTGGTTCTCATACAATTAGTGACGGAACTACTTATCTTTTTTTCACAACAATTGAAAAAAAAAATTGTTAATATATGGTGCACCTCCTAGATTATTATTATTATTATTATTATTATTATTATTATTATTATTATTATTATTATTATTATTATTATTATTATTATTATTATTGCAACTACTATCCCAAATAAATTTGTGTACCTCATAAATGTAAGTTCACTTAATAGCCCAATAATGTTCAATTAGCCAATGTGCAACTACTACCTCATAAATTGGAAAAACGCATTATGGTGACAACAATTCAACAAATTAAAAAAATAAAAGATAACAAAAACTATTATTCATTTTGTTGCTTACTGCTTCACAACGACAGCTATGAATTCTCTTTCATTTTCAAGATTAAAACAAGTATTATTTATTTATTTACTTTAATCTTTTAATATTTTATTAGTTTAGTTTACTTTTTATTATTTGTTATTTTGTTTGTGAAATTAAGTTTAAATCTTCGGTTGAGAATTTTAAATCTTTAATTATCTTATTATCTTTAACCAAAAATCTTTTTGTGCTATTCTTTGCCAAAATTTATGGGTCGGCACGGCTAGGTGTGTTCGTTTGAATGGATCGGTTTGATCCGATCCAATTAAGTAAATCCAAACTGATTTCAGTTTTCAAAATATGGATCCAAATAGTCTAAACTAAATTCAAATCCGATCCGATCCGATCAAATTACAATTCGGTTGAATCAGTTTTTATAATTCGGTTTTCAAAAACCATAACATTTTAAAAGGACATAGAATTATAAAATGATCTAATTTTACAGAAGAAACAAAAACAAATTATTTACTTGTGATTTAAATTAACAACCACTAAGAAGACATATTATAGTTTATTATTTAATAGATAAAAAACTTTTGAGAGAAAGTACATATTAATGTTTTTTATTAGGTGAAACCTTTTGAACTTATTTAAAAAAATTATAAAAATAATAAATAATTATAGATATATTGAAAATAAATATATAACAAATTGTTATTCGGTTTTTTTGACTATTCAGTTCTTATTTTATAAACCAAAACCAATCCGAAATCTAAAATAATAATTCGGTTTTGTTGAAAACCAATCCAAAAATCTGAATATCCGAATCAAATAGGCCAATCCAAATTGTCCAATTGGACAATTTGGTTTTATCCAAATAGTGAACAGCCCTAGGCACGACAATCCGATCTGATTTAATTAATAATTATCAAATAATCTTACAATTTTTTTTTCTCTTAAGCAACTCTTTTTTTTTTTTTTTTTTTTTTTTTTTTTTTTTTAAATTGTATTCGATAAACAATAAACATTTTATTGTTTTTCATTACCTATCGGGTAAATAACATAAAGTCATTAACTTTTTTTTCGATTTTGACACAACGTTTTTTTATTACAGTTAAGTCACTATATTTTCAGTTTGGTATAATTCTGACTGCTTGATCGGTTTGTTTTAGATCATTTAGTTGCTAAAGTGGCATGATGATGTATCAAAAAAAGTGGCGTAAAAGACACTATGTTTTTATTCTTTGTGATTTTGACACTAAATTTTTAATATTTTTTCAAATTTGACACTAAGTTTTTTATTTTCTTCAATTTGCGACATAAAATAAATAAACATATGCAAATATATAATTGCTCCATATTCCCTATAATATAATAAAAATATATTTACCATAGATTAAAAAAACATAAACGGAATAAACACATGTAAAGATATAATTGCTCCATTTTCTATACTTGGATTTCTTTCTATTTTTAAACTCATTACACTATCCTCAAATGGGGTTTCATCACTTTCTTCCTACCACCCAAGAACCTCAAAAACTGTAAGGTCCTGAGAATGGATCTTACCAGTGATCAAACGCAAAAACAAGAATAATAGAAGAAAAGAAAGAAATCAAGCTTGCACACGTTCTATTGCTGAAAATAGCTATTAAGCCCACCAAAATACTCTATCTATACACAACCACTATTACAATGCAAAACCTAGACCAAACCAATAATTGGGCCTTTCAATCTCCCCCTTGGTTTGGTGCTAGCTTGAGTTTAACCCTTATTGACTACCATAACGTCCGCTTGCCCCATCGCCCCGTTCCACATACGGTTATTCAGAATCTCAGCCACCATGGTTGTATATACCTTCGCAGCATCTTCAAAAATATCTTCTACAACCAATATCTGAAAATTGCTTAGGTGATGAATGTCCCACTTATGGAATTGTAACAAATCTCTTCGGTCATAGAGTCGGATACATCCATTCTTGAACTTGATTACAGCAGCTGATGTAATCTAATCGAAAACCTAACACTCCATTGAGCCTAGAGATCCGTCTTGATAGTTCTGAAGCACAAGGAACTGTTTAAAATGCTTGGTTGCAGGCTACATCACAATTTGCAGCGGTTTGTCAGTTTTAGGATCAATAATATCAGGATGCTCCAATATAACGGACTCAGCAGTTGTCATGGCAGGAAACCCCTTTTTAACCTGATCTTCAAGGAAGTGTTTAAACTGGGTCGCCTGTGGATTGTTTGTGAGATTAGAAAAAGGAGCTCGTGACAATTCTGTCAGATCGACCCTAGTCCATGAATTGAAATCATGACTATCTCTGTAGAGCTTAGAGTTGCCACTCTTTCTTAGCACGATCCACATCTTGAGAGGATCATGAAATCCCCAAGAAACAATTACCAATCTATCACCGAATGTATCTCTGAATCGAACAACCTCAAGATCAGTCACTGTAATTGCAGGTTCATACCAAGAAGCATTATGGTTAAGGTTTCATTTAAACAGCAGTTGCCCCTTCTTAGCTGCTTCCTCCTGTGCATCGCGAATTATTGCTGAGACATGAGGGGCTTGGGGAGGCTCATCTTCAACATGATCAACAACCCCTGATGTATGACCAGTTGGCATAGAAATAGGAAAGGCTTGAACATGAAGATTGATTTGGTGTTCATCAGCAGACGTTTGATACTTATCACTGGAGTCTTCCTCAAGCTTCTTCTTTAGATCAAAATAACTTGAAGTCAAAAGATTGAAATGATCTTGAAGATCAGAAATCTGCTTCGACTTTAGAGCTTTGTCCTTAAGAAGATCAGCTACTTGTACACCGAGATTTGAATTGTCAAATTGAAGTTCAGATACTTGAACATTAAGCTTTGTATTTTCAACTTGAAGATGTGAAACACGGATATCAAGCTCAATGTTCTTCTGACTAAGAACCGATATCTCCTTTTGTAGCCCAGGAAGAGTGAGATTGTCTCCTCTAGAACTGCCATCCCCAATAGAAATACCTTTACCGCATGGGGGAGGCATCAAAAATTGCTCCTCAGCCAAATGTATGGCTAATCTTACAGAAGCGTCATCGTGATCAGATTGAAGAGGAGAAAACCCTGGTGGAATAGAAGATCCACCAACTTCAAAAGTGGTGTCTAGGCCCACAGTAAACAGCTTGGTTGTAGTAAGACTGGGAGTAGTGGTAGGTGGTACAGGAAGGCCACTAACAAGATTTGTAATTAAATCACTTTGCCTTCGATCCCTTCTTCTTCTTTTCAACAGGGGTTCACCGGTCTGTGTTGATGTAAGATCACTTACAAATGGCTCTATAATAGGAGAAACAGAAACAGGAGGAGGAAATCCCGTAACCGTCTCCATTGGAGTGGAAGTATTAGCCATTTGGTTTGAAGTAGGAGGTGTAGTTTCAAGAACTTCATTAGACTCCCTTGTCTTTGTTGTTGGGGGAACAACTTCATCGACATTTTTAAAAATCGTGTCAAGATTCTCGTTCGTAACAAAATTAGCACTACTAGCAAGAGATGCAGCAATTTCATCATGATCAAATCCGGTAAGATCAAGATCATCAAAAGAATCATGTTTATCTCCCTCAACTTCCATCTCAGACTCGACATCCATACCCTCAAGACCATTTTGAACACGAGTAGATACTAAACCATGTTCTTCTGCCACATGAGCTTCGGGGGTAGGAGTATCTTCCTTTTCAGTATTCTCATCATCAGATACAGTAATAACAACGTCGTTTGGAGATGATTTCTCAGAAGATGCAGGCTCAGAGGATGCCTTGTCAGAGGATTCATAAGACTCTGAGGATTCATTCAGTGCGGTGAACTTTCCAAACTT